ACCTGGTGGGTGGGGTGGCGGAGAGACAGGTGGGTTCTTTCACTCGTTTAGGAGCTCAGACAAAGGCTGGGAGCATTCACATGACTTTGGCATCTGGGGGTGGAGGCAGTGGTGGCTGCTGTGGGTGTTACCTGGTGGGTGGGGTGGCGGAGAGACAGGTGGGTTCTTTCACTCGCCATACATTTGCGAAGGCGTTTTGTGCTTGGGAGCTGTTTGTGTCTGCACCTTGCAAGCTGTTGGATGCCTCTGTGCAAACAGAGGCCAATTCCCCAGCCCAAGGCTCTGTTCAAGTGCTGCCTTGGGGAATGTTTCCTTTGCAAGCAGACTTGTCATCCAGACTCTCTCCAGCAGGCCCTCTCTGCCAGGGAGCAGGTGTGCAAATTGCAAGGGCTGTTTTGACAGGACTGGCACCAGTAGCTGGGGAGGCAGGAGGTGCCTGCAGGTGAGGGATTGAGTCAAGGTTGGTCAGCTGTGGGCTGGGCTGGCAGCTGGCTCCAGAGTCCAGGGGTCATCACAGAGGTGGGGCAGAAGGCCCCACTAGGAGTGAGAGTGTGAACTCTGCTCCAGGGCCCCGACCATGTGCTGCTGGCCTTGTTGACACTGTCTGTGGGGTGGGTGGTGATTGTGGGCAGGCTGGTGAGCTGCAGGCGAGCCTGGTCTGATTCCGGCAAGGGTGGAGACACCAGAACAGCGTTTCCCAAAGTCTTGTTCCACTGAACCTCGATTCCATGGAACCTAAAAAGGATGAAAGGGTTCTGGGATTATATAAATTAAAGAAACACTGAGTTACAGAAAGAGAAATGGGTCTCTTAACTGAAAAACTTCTCAAACTTACAATTTGCCAAGGAGTGTAGTAAACCTGTAGGCAGGGATTAGAGTAGATAATGTTTCTCTAACCTGTTTGACTATGGGACCGTTTTGGGGTGTAGCATCTCTTGGGGTAAGGGTCCCATAGAACATACTCTGAGTTACAGAAAGAGAAATGGGTCTCTTCACTGAAAAACTTCTCAACCTTACAATTTGCCAAGGAGTGTAGTACCTGTAGGCAGGGATTAGAGTAGATAATGTTTCCCTAACCTGTTTGACTATGGGACCGTTTTGGGGTGTAGCATCTCTTGGGGTAAGGGTCCCATAGAACATACTTTGGGAAACACTGCCTATACTTTCCTTGCATACTGAGTTTATGTGACCAGGCTGGGTGTTTGGATCCTGGTTCCAGGATGGTGGATTTTGAATCCAGCTATTGGTGGGGCTACTCGATGGTACTAGACTAAGGATTTTAAGCTGCTTCGCTCAAAATTGCTTGGATCCTGGTTCCAGGATGGTGGATTTTGAGTCCAGCTATTGGTGGGGCTACTCGATGGTACTTCTTACAATACTGGTCAATGAACACAGAACTCTTGATATTAAAACTAGACTAAGGATTTTAAGCTGCTTCGCTCAAAATTGTGCAAATGACTTAAGGTAGTGAAGTAGGAGAAGTAGCTAAGAGGTAGATGGCTGCCTGTGGTAGTGGGGAATGCCAGTGGTAAATGACCTCAGACTTGAACAACAGGGAGGGCAAGACCAGTGAGAAGAATCATCTGCAAGGAGTGTGAGGTAACATCGCAGGGCTGAGCGAGAGGGAGCAATACGCTGTGTTAGTAATAGATTGGGTTCTAGATTTGGATAGATCTCATTCAAATCCTGGCTCATCTATTCATTGGATGTGTAACCCAGGCAAGTTTCTTAACCATTCTGAGCCTTAGTTTTCACATATGTAAAATGGGGTCAATAATAGTACCTACCTCCCAGGGTATTTGTGAGGAATACATGAGACAATGCCTGTCAATCACTTAGCACATGACCTGCCAAAATCAGGAGCTCAATGAGTGTCTTTCTAAAAAGTTCTGATGCAGGAACAAATATATGTCAGCTGACAGAAGGGACCAGGGAATGAATGTACACAGAAGGCAGGGACAGGGGCAGGGGGCGTGAATGGATGGATGGAGTTACCTTGGTGCCTTCAGGATGGCTGAGTTGAGAGAAGAAAGGAGGCATAACATAGAATTAGTTTTCTGCAACTTGGACCAACTTGGCTTCAACCGCAGTCAGTGTACCTGTGGTGGGGGGGGGGGGGGAGCGGGCGGGAACCACTGACATGCGCAGTAGGCTCTAACCTGTGTCAATTAGAGTCTAGAATCCCTTGACATTCAGTGGGGCTGCAGGTGCAGGCTGGGGAAGGAATCTCTGCCACTGGAAGCCTGGCATCAGCTCATCAAAGTAGAGTCTAGAATCCCTTGACATTCAGTGGAGCTGCAGGTGCAGGCTGGGGAAGGGATCTCTGCCACTGGAAGCCTGGCATCAGCTCATCAAAGGGAAAGAAAAGGTCACTGGCATTTGGAACCTAGTGAACCAAGCAATGAGGTCACCAATTCACCCTCTGGCTGTGGAGTCCCATCTCAAGAGGTGATTCATATCCTAATGGAAGGGAGGAGCCAAAATAATGAGCAGCTGCTTCTCCTGCTCTCTGTGTATGGTGCTGCCTCCAGGCCACGCACAGGCAATTTGAGGAAATGATCTTAGGGTTAAGGTGAGTCTTGAATGTGGTGAAGTAGTTTGTACCATGTGAAGGGAAATGGGGTGCAGCTGGCTTGTGAGTTATTAAGGCTACACCTGGCCAGTTTCAAAGAACATCCTCCTTGATGTGCAAAGGCTTCCCAACCAGTCCCTGCCTGGTTCTGAGAGGGGTGGTAGGTGAGGTGAGGATCCTGGCAGGCTGTTTAGTATGGTCTTCAGAATGGCCTGTGCTGCAGACCCTGAATAGGGCTCTTTTTGGGTGTGGAGGATGTGCACTTGGGTGGTGTTTAACTCACACCGGATGGAAATAGCACCAATAGCCAACTTACTATGTTATGCGCCTTTCCACATGCCAACTCGCTGGGTCCTCACAACCCTAGGTGGTAAGTTTTCTCACTAGCTCTATTTTGCAAATGGGGAAACTGAGCCAAGGACAGGTTGAGTAGCTTGCTAGAGGTCCTATTAGTAGTAAGAACCAGCATTTGAACCCAGGCAGTATTTGAACCCTGAACGTAGGTGCTGAACCACTGTGTCATCACGGGATTGAGCAGAAATGGATTCAGTCCTGGGCTAGGTGAGATACATAGGAAGAAGTATGAGCTCCTCTGAGCTCTGGGAGGCAGGGCTGGATAGGTGGCTGGCTCAGGAACAAGTTCACACCAGAATCAAATATCGGAAGTACAAATGTCTTGCAGACAAAAGCAAAGCACCACAGAGGCAGCTCAGATCTGTTTTACTGAGCAAGTTGCTTATGGTCTTTGCAGGGTTTACTGCCCCAGCTCCACGTGTGATATCCTGGTGGTGGAGGAGGGCTTATCTCCTGGCCCTGCGATGGCCCCACATGCTTCAGGGGCAAGAGGATTCTGATTCCCGGGAAGAAGGAAAAGAGCACAGGCTTTAGAGCTCTATAGGCTTGACAGGGCTTGAAATCCAGTCCCAAATCGCAGTAACTGTGTGACTTTCGGAAAGTTATTTAACCTCTCTGAGCCTCAGTTTCATGATCTGTCAAATAGGGGTAATAATATGTACCTCCATAGCCTTGTTATGAGGATTCAATGAGATGATCACTGTACATCATACAGTGCTTGGGGCATGGTAGGTGCCTGCCTGGTCAGTGTAGGTTCGTTGGCAGGCTTGCCTTCGTCTCCCTCTTTCCTGGAAGAATGTATGATTTTCTAGGGTGAATAAAAAAAGAGCAAGGGAAAGGTACTACAGCTGTAGGGCCCACAGCCCTCCTCAAATGCCCGTAGCAAAGGAGAAAGCTATTTCTGATTCTAAAGGGTGTCCCAAAATTCAGGCAAGATTTGAATTTTGCGTGAGCATTAACAACAACAACAACAAAAAATAAAAGCCTAATTTTACTTGGTTTATTGAATCAGATTCTAATATCTGTTGCCCTTTGATTTCAATCCCTTCAATTTGATAAGCATTACCAAGTACCAATTATGGCCCAGGAGCAGGGACAATGAAGACCAATGAAGACCACGGCTTTGCGTATGTGCCAGCAAAGCCATGGAGGCTATTTACCCAATGTGCTATTCCATACATAACCCTATACTCTATACTTTATGAATCAATAAAAAATTTACAATTTTTAATTATAAACCTGTGTTTTCTATCAAAATTACTTCTTGTGTGAATTTTGGGACACCCTTTAGTTGTGCTTAGAGACAACAAGGGTGCAAAGAGAAGCCCTGTGGCCCTGCCTGGCTGCTTCTCAGGGGTCATAATCACCATGACACCGATTCTGACCTGGGAACTGACACCAGAGACTGCACACACAAGCAGGATGGGGCTGTGGTGGGCTCGAAGGGACATCTGGGAATCTGGGCCCGGAGCTGCACCTTTGAGAGGGGTGAGACTAGAGGAGGAGGTAGTCCTAAGACCCTGACCTGAGAGGAAGGGTAGAATGGTGACTTCCACCTGCCAGGAAGGCCAGTCTATCTCAGGAGACAGCCACAGTGGGATCCTAGGTTCAGCTCACAGCCACTCTCTCCCTTCTCTTGCTCTTCCTGGGAAAAGCAAACCAGGTGGGTTGCCCCATTGGCTGTTCAACCTGCCCTCTTAGCCACCGGGAAAGAAAATGGCTAGAGAGAGAAGGCAAGTGGAGTGCATCCATTCATTCATTTATTCAACTAATCTTTATTGAGCATGTATTTCCTCCACATGTTTCCCAGGCCATAGGCTACTTATGCAGGCCTCACTTTCATTCATTCACTCATTCATTCATTCAACTAATCTCTATTGAGCATGTATTTCCTCCACGTTTCCCAGGCCATAGGCTACTTATGCAGGCCTCACTTTATTTATTTATTACTTCATCCTCACCTGAGGATATTTTTCCATTGATTTTTAGAGTGAGAAGAAGAGAGAGGGAAAGACAGAGAGAAATATCGATGTGAGAAAAACACATGGATTGGTTGCCTTCTGCATGAGTCCCGACGAGGGCCCGGACCAGGGAGGAGCCTGCAACTGAGGTATGTGCCCTTGACCAGGATCAAACCCAGGACCCTTCGGTCCACAGGCTGATGCTCTATCCACTGAGCCAAACCGGCTAGAGCCAGGCCTCATTTTACAAACAGCACACTTACTAGCAGTGTGACCCTAGTCAAGTCAGTTAACTTCTCCGGACATCAGTTTCTTGTATAATAGATAAGAAGTTACCTACCTGGCATACAGCAGGCATTCAATGAATATTGTTTCTCTTTCTTCCCTACCTTGTCCTCCTTTCCAAATGTTTGCTGAGAGAAGGAGGATCTGAGGCTGCCAGCACTCATTTGCATGTGATTTTATGTAAATGTCGGGTGTCTTTTAAGCTGGGGAGGTGAAAAGCTGCCAGAGGCCCAATTTTGTCATCACTTGCTCTGCTAATCGTGCCTGTTTCGGTTATCTATTGCTGTATAATGAATTGTTCCCCAAAATAGTGGCTGAAAACTAACAATAATCATTTTATTGTTAACTCTGATGGTTTTGCAGATTAATTGGATGGGTAGGTGGGTCTCACTAAGGATCCCTTGGGCAATTGCAGTCAGATGGTAGCTGGAGTTAGAGTCATTTCAAAGGCTTCCTCACTTGCAGGACTGGCATTGATGCTGGCCTTTGTCTGGGATCTCTGCAGGGGCTGTCACCCAGGCACCTACATGTTGCCTCTCCATGTGGTCTGGGATTCCTCACAGCATGGCAGCTGTTCCAAGAACGAGAGTTCCCAGAGAGCCAGGTGGAAGCAAAAATATTACTTCTGCTATAGTCACAAGTCTGCCTAGTTTCAAGTGGAGGAGATGTAGACTGTATCTCTTAATGGGAAAATCACCAGTGTCACATTCAGAACACGTGGGATGAGGGATCTTGTTGCAGCCACCTTAGAAAATACAGTCTGCCACACCGCCCAGCTAGGAATAGCTTCCCGAAGGAAGGCTTGTGGCTTGACTCCCAGGCCTGAAATGGCTAATGCATGGAGAAGACTAGGTTCCTTGATAACAGGCTTTGGGTGTGAGGTTGGGGGTGGGGGAAGGATTCAGACACTGCCAAGATAGTTCTTGAAACTTTGGGATTCCAGAATTGGATCAGATTATCCCAGAAGGCAATAGGGCAGAAACATGGAGAACGGGAAGAACAACATAGCCTGGTGCTGTGGGAATTTATTAGGTTTAGGAAAGAGCAACTAGTCTTTCTCTGGTGTTCTCCACTTCTTGCAGGAGACCTACTTATGCTCCTTGAGGAGGATCCTGGGAACTCAAAGGATGGGGAGCTACACTGGGGTCAGAGGTTGGTGGCACTGACACTGGCATCAGGTGGGGTAGCTTCAGCCTTTTCCCCAACATCCCAATTCCACCCCAAAGTGGATGGGCATTTCTAACAAGCTGGTCTCTTCTCTGATATGCCTGGGATAAGCCCATGTCCGGTATAAACAGAAATCACCACACATGTCTACCATTCAACCTGTTCCTAAAGACTTAATAAATATGAGAGGGAGTTTGGAATTAGTCTTTAAAAAAAGAATTCTCTGGGCAGAGACAGAATAAAATATATGGAGCTCTACACAATCATTCCCCATGGAAAATAAAAGAGGGAGTTCTTCCTGTTCCACCCCGTGTGAATGAGACAGAGATTAATCTATTGAAGTCAAATGTATAAATTATACATGGACAGGAACTGGCCCGGGCATAAGGTGTCTGATAGTGTGCTGATGGAAATGAAAATGAGGCTTGAAAGATCAATTCTGCTTTTAAATCAGCTCCAGTCCTGCTCGTGCCCCTGGGCCTGCCTGGCAGAAACAACCTGACTTATCAAATTAGAAAACACCCATTCCCAAACCTTTGGAACATGCACCTTCAAAGTAATTGCTAATGTTTTGGATGAGATTTCTGTGCGTCACCAGGAATAATAAAAAGGCAATAAAAGTTTGAAGGCCCCTATTTTTGCTGCCTGATGCCAGATGTAAATCAAACCCATCTCTTCAAAGGGATAGACAGGAAGTTTTATGATGTGGGCTGTTATCTGCCAAGGGGAGAGGGTGGATCTAAGTCTGGGACAAGTGTCACTTGCAGTCCAGCCATTCCTGTGTGACTCTCTCATTTAACCACTATGGGCTTACTGCTCTTCCATTCATCTAGCCACTTATAAATTCACCTATCCGTTCAATTAACTTTGTGATACTATGTGCCAGACACTATGCTACACACATATTTGGTGTTCACTAAATATAATTAGTACAAAGATGAATATAGCAGTTCCCTGTTTTCAAGAAATTCCAGATCAAAGATACATAAACAGATAGCTTGCAATACCACCTTGTTAGTGTTAAACCAGGGTGCTGTGATCACAGGGTTTGTAGAGGAACAGGTTTATAAAGGAATAAAGATTGTGTTGCCTGACAAAGAGGATTACTCCTACTAATGATCATCTGGCCAATGTGTCCTCTGAGAGTCTTTAAGATGACCTCTGCTGAAAGAGTAGAAGAGGAAAGAAGCTTAGGTTGCAGCCAGAGCTACTTCGGTGAGATAAAACAGAACCCGACCATGTATGTTGTAGGTGGACCAGTGAGACAGCGATGGTCGATGGTCGATGCAGCTCCTGAGTTCAGAGACTTCCCCTGTTACCTCCAGGACCTTGCAGGGGGCCTGGATCAAAGAAGGTGCTCTCTATAGTTTTCTTTAACAAACAAATAAAGAAATGCTCCATTGCCTGGTGTTATTTCAGGATTGAACGGACCCTGCCCTGTTTGTACAAGCAAGGCGCACACTTACCTAACAACCTGGTGCGGGGAAAGATATGGCCCTTCCCGGTCTGATGCTGTTACTTGTATCCTTTTGAACTGATGGCTCACTTCCTTTTTAAAACAATGCTATTCAGGGTAGAATATACATGCAGCAAAGTCCATAAATCTTAATCAAACATCCCAGTGAATTTTTCCATATGTCCACACCCATGTAACCATCAGCAGGTCAAGATCTAGAACATTACCTGCTCCAGGCCAGGCTCCTCCGTGTGCCCTTTGCAGCCCTGCAGGGGAAACCAATGCTCTGATGGCTCTGCAAACACTTTCTGTAGAGTCTACCTCCACCTTCCCATATGTGTGAAAAATTTTCAAAGGTAAATTCATCTTCATTTTAGTAAAAAATATTTTTATTGATTTCAGAGAGGAAGAGAGAGAGAGAGAGAGAAACATCAATGATGAGAGAAAATCATTGATTGGCTGCCTCCTGCACACCCTACTGGGGATCGAGCCCGCAACCTGGGCATGTGCCCCTGAGCGGAATAGAACCCGGGAACCTTCAGTCCGCAGGCTGATACTCTATCTACTGAGCCAAACCAACTAGAGCATAAAAAAATTTAACAGATTGATTTTATTCCTCCCAACATTAGAAAACGTAGAATCACTAAATGTCAGCTCAGGCTGGGGTTTTGCCCATCTAGGTCTTCCTTTTCAGGAGGTAGGATTTCTTTTCAACATCAATTTATTCCACAGACCCCAGAGAAGACTTGCTCCTTCTTAGTGTCTTTTGATTAAGGAATTAATGACCAGTGGTTCCCATGACTGGGTAGAGGGGAAATAATGGGGAATTAGTGTTTAATGGGTACAGGGTTCCAGTTTGGGAAAGTGAAAAAGTGAATGTGGATGTCAATTTCATGGTACATTTTATGTTATGCTTATTTACCACCAAAAAATGAAAAAAAGATAAAGTGTCACTTAAAAAAAAGAAAATAATACAAAAATTCCTGTGAACTCAGTGACTGCTTTAGAGTAAAGTTTTTATTTTATTAATAGATTCTATGTTCATTTGGAAAACATATGGTTCATGTGAGCATGAGAGCTATTCTTTTCCCAACAAACAGACTGCTTACGGTACGTGCAAAGATTCCTAAACCTTAGCAATACCTGCAAGACCCTGCCTCTTCCCAATGTCTGTGACCCACCATTGAGATGAACTCTTCATTCCAGCACCTTCAGTTGAAGACACTGAAGCTCAGAGAGGGGAGTGTCTTGTGCAGGGTCAGAGAGCCGGTCTGTAACAGCCAGGATAAGACTCTGGGCTCAGATCCCGCTAGCAGGTGCTCCTGTCTGGCACCACCTCTGTTCTGCGCTGGCTGAAGACCACACGCGCTATTCTGAGCCTCAGTCTTCTGTTTCCTGCAATTACTTAGCCAGATGTGATTCTCAGCTTGGAGACTCCTCCCTCGCCTGTCCCATCGAGGCAGGAAGTAGGATGTACGGCCAAGAGATGGGGCCTCCCGATTCCTTTGTAATTTGACCCTGGAGCTCAGTGGGGCAGTGGGGGCTGCTACCGGCTCATTCTTATCATCAAGGCTGTGTTATCGCTCCTGTGAACCAGGGCAGATGCACCTGGAGGCACACTGTTCAAAGCCGAAGGCTGAGAGTCGAGTTTCAGGCTAGAGGTGCTCTCAGAGGCGAGAGTGGGTGCCTTGGCTATTTCGGCGAGAGCTGACAGTAAGGACTGCTTCTCTCGCACAAGCTGTGCATTTTGTATTGTGGGCTGTCCTGCCTCCGCTTTCCCTTTCCCAGGCTTGGTGGATGCTGCTGCTCCCCAACCCCCTCCCTGATGCTGCTAACGACATCCAATTAATTCAGGATAATTTGGTTCATTATAAGCCCTTAGACTGGAACAGCGTTTTCTCTGAGTGCAGAGCAGCCTTCCTGGATTTCCTCAAAGGGACAAGGCTCTGAGTGTAAGAGGGGAGAGAGGGCAGAATCCTGCTTATCTGCCCAGTTGGGTACCAAAGAGCTGGTGAGTGCTTGAGACAGGCTGGGCTGTGCTCACTCCAGCAAAACCCATCTTTCCTGGTGCCCCCACAGTCCTAGTTAAAAATATGATGGCAACGGGGACGGGGCAAGACACCCCAGCAGGAACATCGGGCCACCCTTGGGGCCTACCAATAGGCGCCATCCTTGTGGGGCTAGAGATGTCAGTTCTGTGCCCAGTGGGCCCATTTTTTGTTATTATTTATTGATTTGTTGTTGTTGTTAATCCTCACCCAAGGATATTTTTTCCATTTATTTTTAGAGAAGGTAGAAGGAAGGGAGAGAGAGAGAGAGAGAGAAAGAGAGAAAGAAACATCGGTAGAAGGACGGGAGAGAGAGAGAGAGAGAAAGAGAGAAAGAAACATCAATGTGAGAGACACACATTTGATCAGCTGCCTCCTGCATGCCTCCTACTGGAGATCAAGCCCACAATCCGGGCATATGCCCTGACTGGGAATTGAACCAGCAACCTTTTGGTGCATGGGATGATGATGCTCAGCCAACTGAGCCACACCAGCCACTGCAAGTGGGCCCATCTTGATGACTGTGGGAGTTCCTGCGGGGGCCTGAGGGAAAGGAAGGCCCTAGGGGTGGCCAAGACCCAGTAGGGCAGATGGTGGGGTCCACTTTATAAAGAGCTTGGTTTTCAGTGGAGAAGAAACGCTTAAGAGAGCCAGGACCTGCCCAAATAGGGTTCTCTCATGAAGGAGCGCTGGGCCACGGGAGCAGGCTGGGGCAAAGGACTAGGAAGAATTTCAGAATCGGACAGCTGGGACTGGACTCAGAGCCATGCCTTATCCCTGCTGTGACTGTGGCTTCCTTGAGCTTTATTGTCTTTAGTGAAGAGCAAGATAATGATACTTCCTTCTTTGGATTGTGAGAACAAAATGGGGTGTCAGGAGGTCTCCAATATGATGGTTAAGGGAGGAGGCTTAGCAGCCAGACAGCCGGGGTTACAGTCCTTGCTCCACCCCTGTGCCACCTTGGGCAAGTCACTTCATCTCTCAGTTCAAGCTTCAGTTTCCTTAGTTGCGAAATGGAAGTAACAATAGTATCTGCCTCATAGGAGTGTTGCGAGGATTAAATGAGCACTTACTAGTAGAAGAGCCCTGGCCAGTATGGCTCAGTTGGTTGGGTGTTGTCCAGTGCACCGGGAGGTTGCTGGTTCGATTTCTGGTGAAGGCACATGTTGGATTGTAGGCCGATCCTCAGTAGGGGGCATTTAGGAGGCAGATCGATGTTTCTCTCTCTCTCTCTCCCTCTCCCTTTCTCTCTCTCTAAAAAATCAATAAACTAAAAAAGGAGGAGGGGGAGGTGGAGGAGGCAGAGGAAGAGGAGGAGGCAGAGGAGGAGGAGGAGAGTGCTGGCACACAGGAGGTGCACAGGGCATGTAAACTATTATCGCTTTTATTAGTGATGTGTGTAGAGTGCCCAGCACCCTGCTTGGAACAAACATCATGAAGACTCTGATGTTTATCCCATCCCCACCCCAAGAGGAAATGAGCTGCCCCTTGAGTACCACTACAAGGATGTAGACTTCCATACGACGCTTGAACTCGTGAACATTGGTGGTTATTTTCTTCTCGGGAGTGGGGACTGTGAGGACGGGGGGTCACCTCCGAATACATTTCGATATTGAATCCTGGTTTTAGAGTCTGCTTCTGTGGCAATCAAAGGAAGCTGAGATCTGGAAAGATTAAGCATCTTGCCAAAAGCCTCACAGCCAGGACTTGGCAGAGCCAAGATATGACGTCCTGATCTCCATAGACTTTGTGGTATGATGGAAGAAACAGGTATTCAGAAAACTATAATATAAGACAAAGAGAAATGAAAGGTCAAATAGATCTTCAAACAAATGCTAGAGGAACATTTAAAAACACAAAGAAACAATAACAACAACAACAAAAAACCCAACCCAACAACCCAGCTCTGCGACTAAATGTAATGGGGAGTGAGGAACGGCTGCATGAGTTGGAATCGGTTATGCAAGGCGAGAGGGATTTCCCGCCTGGAGATGTGGGGTAAGGTCATTGCCCGTGTTGGACCAGCAAGAGCAGAGGCCCAGGGACAGAGTCCAGCGCAGATTTGGATGAGTGAGTGGTCAGCGGGGATGTGAAGTGAGCTGAGGGCTAGAGGAGGTGGACGGTAGGCTGAGACGGTCCCTGGAGATCAGGAAGTTCCTTGTCTCCCACGTCCTTCCTTAGCCTCCCACGATGGATCTCTTTTGAAGGCATGGTTGGGCAAGGGTCTTCTCCTCTCTGTAATCTTTTACCCAGACTGTGAGGCAAGGGGCCATGTTTACTGGGTATCCTCTACCACAAAGCCCCTGGCTGGGTGTTGAAGGGAATATGCCAATAACCCACAGCAAAGACCATAATAACAACATTTATGACATGCCTATTGTGTGTCTGGCACTTAACAGACATTTGCTAACCCTCACAAAAATCCACAAATTGTTTGCCCCCATTTTAGAGATGAAGGATTAGCGATGCTATCATCACCTTGCTCAATTTCACCCTCATACGCCCAAGACTGCTTATTACACACATCTGTGAGTTTGGGATTTTTTTCTGGTCAAGGGACCTGAGCTTTTTTTCTTTTTAAATTGATGAAAGAGAGAGAGAGAGAGAGAGAGAGAGACAGACATCCGGTTGGTTGCCTCCTGCCTGTGCCGTGTATATGCCCTGACTGGGAATCGAACCTGTCACCTTCTGGTGTATGGGGTGATGCTCCAACCAACTGAACCACACCGGCCAGGGCGCATGCAGGAGGCAACCACTCACAGAATAAGCTGCAAACATCTTCAACCAATGATGGATGGAGAGTTGGTGGATAAGCACCCCAGTTTTCACACCTCTTGGCTGGGATTAGCTCTGAGATGTATGCTACACCAATGACTCAAACTTTGTTACATATAAGATCACCTGGGAAATATAAAAAAAATTTTTTTATGCCCAGGCACATCCCAGACCAATTAAATCTGAATCTTAAAGCTCTCAGGTAATTGCAATTTTCAACCAAGTTGTGAACCTACAGTCTACATCGACGACCAGAGTCTCCCAGAAGGATTGAACTCTAGTTACCCGGTGTGGTAACTTGCTTGATAATGCCCCCTACTCAGGGTTCCTTCCTTTTCCTGTCTCACTTCCCCATTTGCCTCCCAGAACTTTCTGTTGAAATGTAATGGGGAGTTGGAATCGGTTATGCGAGGCGAGAGGGATTTCCCGCCTGGAGATGTGGGGCAAGGTCATTGCCAGTGTTGGACCAGCAAGAGCAGAGGCCCAGGGACAGAGTCCAGTGCAGATCTGGATGAGTGAGTGGTCAGCGGGGATGTGACGTGAGCTTAGGCCTAGAGGAGGTGGACGGTAGGCTGAGACGGTCCCTGGAGATCAGGAAGTTCCTTGTCTCCCACGTCCTTCCTTAGCCTCCCACGATGGATCTCTTTTTAAGGCATGGTAGGGCAAGGGTCTTCTCCTCTCTGTAATCTTTTACCCAGACTGTGAGGCAAGGGGCCAACCCAAAGTCATATCACCGGACACAGGTGGAAAGGGCAGAAAGAGGTCCTCTGATGTCAAGTTCTGATGGTGAACCTGGGCAGCTTATTGAAGGAGAGCCATCCCACAAGGACAAAGTGCCAGGGGTTGGTGGCCTCCCCCATCACCACCCACCTCTCTGCTGCTCACAGCATGAGCTTCCCTTGGTCCAAAGGCTAAGTCTGCGCCTGCTCCAAGGCTTTGTCTCTGCTGTTCCCCCTGCCTTGAGAACTCTTTTCTCAGATCTCAAATGGCTCCCTTTTTCTCATCGCTCAGAATTCAGCTCAAACACCACTTCCTGGGAGAGGCCCTCCTGGGCTACCTTCCTCCTCCTCCTTTCCCTCCCCACTAGTCTCTCTCGCAGTCCCTCATTTTATTTTCTTTATCGCGCAGAACATATTTGAAATTCATGTTAGGTCTATTTCTCTTTCCTTCCTATCCTGTCAGTCTCCCCTTCTAGGCTGCATGGGAGCAGGTAGGTTCATCTCTGCCATGTGTGTGTGTCCCCTGAGCTCCCAGATCAATGAATGACCGAATGGGGCAGGTCCTGAGGGTCATGCAGCAGGGCCTGGTGACCGGAGTGGGTCCCGGTGAATCCTGGGGGTGGGAGGAAGGGCGAGCTGTCTTTGCTCTTCCACACTGCATATGTGGTGATGAGCTGTGCTCAAGTGGCCAGGCTGACCTAAATGAGCAGTTCCTAGCAGTGACCAATCAATACTGATAGAGGAGCTAAATCAGGTTAAGATCCAGCTCTCCCCGGTTGGTGTCATGCCATAAATGGCTTCCCAGCAGCCCAAGGTCAAGGGTGCAACTTTCACCCTACTCCTATCCCCCACTACCAACAGGGAGCCCCTCCCTGCTGCCCAGGAAGCATGCGTGCGTGCTCTGGGCTGTTGCTCTTCTGCTGCCCTGCCTCCCTTTCATCCATGCATTAGAATGCCCTTTCCTTCTGCATTTTATTTCTGTGCCCAAGGTCTGAGGTGGTCACGCACACGCTGACATTTAAAGACCCAGCTGAGAAATCAATCAGTGTGGTCTGTCCTTCAGCGCCTCAGGAACCTGTGAGGCTGAGCCAGGCCTCATCTGGCTCACACCCCATTGATTTGTAATGGTATCTGTGGGCTGGTGACATTATGTGGAGAACCCTCTTTGAGAAAATGGGAAGCAGTATAGCAGAATAGTCAGGAGCCTCGGGAGCCAGACTGCTTAGACTTCAATCATAGTCTCTGTCATTTGCTGGCCATGTGACCTGAACCACTTGCTCAACCTCTGGAGTATCTGCCCTATAGGACTGTAATGATGACAGAATGAGTTAATAAATGTAAAGCAGGAGAATGACACCTACAACATAGTGATATATATCTCCTATATAATAAAAGCCTAATATGCTAAGTGTCTGGTCATTCAGTCGGCCGTTCAGCCAATCAAAGTGTAATATGCTAATGATATACTAAGGCTGCTCAACCACTTGCTATGACGTGCACTGACCACCAGGGGGCAGATGCTCTGACCAGTAGGTTAGCTTGCTGCTGGGGTCCGGCCAATTGGGACTGAGCAAGATGGGCCGGACACGCCCTGGAGCCCTCCTGCGGTCCCTTCCCAGCTGGCCAACCTCCTGCATCCTTCCACAGTCCCGATCGTGCACTGGTGGGGTCCCTCGGCCTGGCCTGCGCCCTGTTGCAATCCAGGACCTCTCAGGGGATGTCAGAGAGATGGTTTCGGCCCAGTCCTGCAGGCCAGGCTGAGGGACCCCACTGGTGCACGAACTAATATATATATATATGTTATTGTCATTGTTTTTGGACTGGGGATAGAAACAGTACCCACTTCCTAAGATTGTTATGAGGACATAATGAAATAACTCAAGTAGAATCCACCTAGTGTGATGTAAACACTCAATAGATATCAGTTGTGCCCACAGCTTAAGGAGACACAGCCTGTTGAATATAAGCCAAGGATAAGGATCCCCTGAATTAATGATAATCATTATGAGTAAAAAGGGGGCTTGATTTATGAATTAATATTCTACCTAACTTTTGGCAGGAAGATGGCCATCAAGAGAGCAAGGTAAGCCTGCTATGAGTTGCCTGGGAGTCAGGCAGTGGGCAACTGCTTTGTCCCAAGGGGCTTGTCCAGTCTGCCATGAGATGGAAAGCCATCTGGCCCAGGCAGGGTCACGGGTCCTCATGTGACTCCCAGAGCCTGCTTAGGGAGCTGTGAGAGGTAGAAATCCTCCCCCAAGTAGGACCCAGGCTCCCAGTTTCAAAGACAATGTCCTTTTTATATCTATCCAGTGCCTGGGCCAGGACCTGATCATATGCCTGTTTGGATTGAGGGCAAAGGGGAGAGAGGGCCAGGAGGGAAAGGATTAAGAATTACCCAAGTCCCAGAAACATGACCGGAAACAGACCTCAGGACTAGAGTGTGACAAAAGAAAAGTACCTGGAGAAAAGCTGTGTCTGCAGGAGGGAGAGGGGAACCAGCCACAACTGGGCTGTGGGCTGTGAGTCTTACATACATTCACTATGCATGGAAACCCCTGGGAGGATGGAGCAGAAATGGTGTTTGAGTCACATGGCTTATACATGGAGAAGGTGGGCTTTGAACCTAGGTTTGTGGGTTCCAGAGCCTGTTTTTCCAACTGATGGTGCTGGTCAGTACCTTGGGGAACACAGCCAAAACAGAAATCTCCCAGGGCTTACTTGGCATTCTGCTAAGGGAGGGTTCATTGTGTTGGGAAGACACCAATACTCAGGTTCCCAGAGAGGAGAGTTCTGTGGTGGGTCAAGGTTAGTGTGCTGTGGTTTTGTGGACGATGCCTCCAGATGCTCTGTGCCCTTGACTCTCATTCTGTGTTCATCTTCAGATTAAATTTAGTTCCCAGGCATCTTGTTAGCAGGAAGAGGTGTCCCAGATATAGACTTACTTGTTCCTGTTCCTGGCAAGGCCCACTTCCCATCATGACTGACAGGTTTTGGACAGTGCGGGATAAAGGAAAGAATATAGATTTCAGAGTCCGACCGGCTCCACTCATTACCCTGCAAGTTCCTTAACCTCTCTAAGCTTCCGTTGCCTTCCTTATCTGTAAAATGGGGGTTAATAAAATCTACCCTGAGGGAGCTATTGTAAAACAAACAAACGCCTAACCCAGTACCTGCCTCGCTGTAGGGGCTCAATGAATGGCAGATATTTTTGAAACACATTAACATTCTGGTTTGTCAAGCAGTCTTTTGTGAGTTGGTCTTGCAACCATGGGTAGCAATGAAGTCAAGGTGAGGATTCTATTGAGTGCTAGAGATCCAGATTCTAAGATGCTGGCCCTTGGAAATACCCTGAGAGAAGCCTGGAGGGGCAGGAGGTGGTCTTTGGCAGTTGGTGAGCACAGAGGAGTATATGAGAAGGAGAACTAAAGGCCTGAGAGAAGACCCCAGTAGACCAACCAATCCGAAGGCAGGAGGCCTAAGTACTCAGGAACGACAGGGAAGCCACAGGCTGGACCAGCCCAGCCTCCCCAACCATCTGCACATTCATAACTCCGGGGTAGCTTTGTAAACACAGATTCCTGGGACCATCCTTGAAAATTCTCATTGAGTAGATCTGGGTTGAGGCCTATGAAATTGTGTTTTTCAAACATTCTTCACTATAGAATAGTATGATAGTAAGATATATAATGTAATATATATAAGTATGTAAAATATATATGTATATGCTTGAAATACTCTGAACAAATTCACAACAACTTCTAGCAATTGCTTACAGGGAGACTGAAGGTAAGGTGCATGAAGGAGACCTATGTTCATTTATACCCCTCTGTGGGATTGGAATTTTCCTTATCATGTATATGTATTAAAACAGTTACATTCATTAATATAATTTAAAACATGATTCATTGAGGTAAAATTTACATACCATAAAATTAGCCATTTAAAAGTGAACAATTCAGTATGGCATTTAGTACATTCACAATGTTGTGCAACCAACAACTCTATCTAGCTCCAAAACATTGCCATCATGCCAAAATAAAGCTCCTTACCCACTAGGCAGTTTCTCCCCATTGCCTCCTCCTGCCAGTCTCTGGCAACCACCAGTCTTTGTTCTGTCTGTATAGATGTGTCTCTTCTGGATATTTAATTTCATTTTATATGATTTCATATCACTGGAATCATACAATATATATTTTGTGTCTGGCTTCTTTCACTTGGCATAATGTTTTGTTTTTTTAAATATATTTTATTGATTTTTTACAGAGAGGAAGGGAGAGGGATAGAAACATCGATGAGAGAGAAACATCAATCAGTTGCCTCCTGCACACCCCCTACTGAGGATGTGCCCGCAACCAAGGTACATGCCCTTGACCAGAATCGAACCTGGGACCCTTCAGTCCACAGGCCAATGCTCTATCCACCGAGCCAAACCAGTTGGGGCTGGCATAATGTTTTTGAGGTTCATCTATGTTGTGGCACACATCACTACTTCTTTCCTTGTTATGACCAAATAATATCCCATCGTATGAATATACCACAATTTCTTCGTCCATTCATCTGTTGATGGACATCTGGCTATTGTGAATAGTTCTGCTATGAACAAGCATGTACATATAATTGTTTGAGTATCTGTTTTCAATTATTTTGAATTATATAGTAATTCTATATTTAATACACACACGCACACATATGTATTGATTTCAGAAAAGAAGGGAAAGGGAGAGAGAGTTAGAAATATAAATGATGAGAATCATCAATTGGCTGTCTCCTCTACGTCTCCTAATGGGGATCGAGCCTGCATCCTGGGCATGTGCCCTGACTGGGAATAGAATGGTGACCTGGTTTATGGTCAACGCTCAATCACTTAACCACACTGGCCGGGCTATGTTTAACTTTTTGAGGAACCACCAAACTGTTTTCCACGGCAGCTGAAACTTTTACATTTCAAGTAATACAATTTTAAAGGTTCCAAAGATATTGGGTACAAAAGAAGGAAAAAATATTCTCTTAAACTACTGTTTTCTAAGTTGAAATTTTTAAATTATTTACTTAATCTAAGTAGACTTTTGGTGTGCAGCCTGATTGGAACCCCTGTTCCACAGTTAGCACAGAGTGGGGGCTGGCTCCCCACCCTCCTCCTGCCCATGTCTCACTTGTCCTCCATACACACAGTCACTTGTAACTTATCATTACTGATTTTGAATGGAAGTTTTCAACTGCTCCATTCTTCCTCTTTTCATTGAAAGGCTGCCCATGTACAGCCTTAGCTGCTGCTATCTGTGTTGTTTGACTAGCTGCCATGTTACTGGCTACACTTCCCATGGAATAAACCCCTCAAGTGTGGATGGTAAATGATGAAAAGCTGGCACAAAAGTAAGAAGGCAGGCAGTGTTTCACTGACACCCCTCAAGTGATCAACTTGGTCCCATGTGCCATACTCTATGTGCCCAAGCTCCAGGGCCATTCATGCACTGGGAAATAACCATTCATCCTTCTTTCTTTCCTCCCTCCCTCACTCCCCCCATTCTTTCCTTCCTCCTTTTTTTCATTCAACAAACATACTGGGAACAAAGCACCTAATCAGATACTGTTCTAGGCATTTTTATATGAGCTGTGATGTATAAGACTCATAATATGAAGTTAGTATTATTCTCAGTTCAAAATGAGGAACTGGAGATTAGAAAAATTAAAGAAAGTTTTCCAAAGTCACAGAACTAGTAGGTAGTGGAATCAGGACTTGAAACTGGGCCTAGATTATTTAGAATTCCCTTTCTCTTCCTTGACTTTCCTCCCCCTTTTCCTCTCTGTCTCCCTTCCTTCTGCACTTATTTCCATCACGTTCCATGTGCCAGGCACCCAACACAGACACTAAAGATGCCATAGTGAATAAGACGGACAGGTGCAAACTCTTTCCCATTACTCTTTCACGGAGTCCTATGGTCCCTGGGCATCATCTCAAACCCACTCAATTTCTTCTCAAATGTTCTCTCTCACATAATGAACAAATGTAGCAGATCAAAGAGCTGTCATGTTGAAGATGAATTAAATTCAGGGCCTGGGTTTATTCCTCCTTTGATCAAGCCCCAAAAGCTCATGGTTCAAAGATGTGATTAATAAATCTGATCACACCCTCCCCTGCTCCAAAACCTCTGGTGGTCCAGGGCCTACAGACATTTCTGTGACATGAGAAATGGTAAAGATCCAGGTCCAGCTGATAAGCTGAACCACATGGAAAGGCCGGGGAGAGCATTTTAAGAAGTGCTTTTCTGTGCGTAACGTGAAATTCATGGATGGAGTGGCATCAGGCCGCGGAGGCATTTCTTCAAACTGAGAAGCAAGGTGAAGGCTTCAAGGCTGAAAGGTCACCTCTCTTCAGAGGAAAGTACCCTCAAGACATGTGCACACCAGTTCATTTGTGTATAACGCCCATCTGCATACTCAGGTAAGTTTGTGCTTATATTATGCAAGTAAACAAATACTGAGAGGTAGCAAATGTTTATTTGAGTAGAAACATTTATTTTAATAGCTTTATAAACCACACCAGGATTTCCTTTATAGCATCGTTAAGGATATGAAGGTGTCACTTAAATGTTTAAGTTAGACTTTACGGCTGCAATTTATAGGAGATACTTGTTATCCAAGGTCTATTGTAATTCTGAGCAAGGCAGAAGGGTATTAAGCTTGATCTCACCTTCCTGCTCCCCCAACCACCAAACCTCCCAAGTACCTGCATAGCAGTGAACGAGGAGACTTTACTAGTGTCCTTGTATTCCTCCTCTTGTGGGCTAAAGAGGTCAGGATTTGGAATCTGGAGACCCAAATTCTGGGCTCTATGCCACCCAATGGAGGGAGCTTGGACAAATCACTTACACTTCTTGGGCCCTTTCCCTCAGCTGTTAAAAAGAAGAAGAAGAATGATAAAGGATAATAATACTGCCTTACCTATGAAAGAATGTAACATCGCAAGGTTGTGGGTAGACCCAAGTGAGATAAAGGTGTGCTTGGTAAACGAGAATGGCTTTTAAAAAATATATGCTTTTTTAATTGATTTCAGAGAGGAAGGGGAAGGGAGAGAGAAACATCAGTGATGAGAGAGACTCATTGATTGGCTGCCTCCTGCACATTCCCCATTGGGGATGGAGCCGGCAACCCGGGCATGTGCTCTTGACCAGAACCGAACCTGGGACCCTTCAGTCCTCAGGCCGATACTCTACTCACTGAGCCAAACCAGCTAGGCCCTATATATAGGGCCTATAATTATAATTTTATAATTCCCTGTCTCACTCTACTGCAGAAGTTGGGGGTTGAGATGAACCAGGGGCCTCTAAAGGGAGGTATGTATTTGTTTCCTGAGGCTGCCATAACAAATTACTGCAAGCTGGGGAGTGGGGTGGGGATAGAACAACAAAAACATATTGTTTCATAGTTCTGGAGGCCAGAAGTTTAAAATGAAGTTGCTGGCAGCTGGACCTTCTGGATGTTCTGAAGGTGAATCCTTTCCATGCCTCTCTTCCAGCTTCTGTGGCTCTGGCTATGAAGATGGCCACCTGATGAAGAGCTGAGGCCTCCTGCCACCAGGGGTGTGAGGGAACCATCTCAGAAGTAGGCCCTCCAGCCCCAGTCAAGCCTGCAGGTGCCTGCAACCCCAGCTGACATTTGACTGCAACTTCATGAGACACCCTGGACCAGAATGATCCAGCTAAGCCACTCCTGGCTCCTAACCCTTCGAAACTGAGTTATCTAATAATTATTTGTTGTTTTAAGCTGTCCTTGGTGTTCCTCAGCTTATATCTATATAACTTCAATCTCTAACTCTGTCTTCACATGGCTTTTCCCGTGTCTCTTTGTCTCAAATCTCTCTCTCCTCATTGGATCTAGAGTCCATCCTAAATCTAGAATGATCTTAAGATCTTTACCTTAATCCCATCTACAGAGACTATTTCCCAGTAAAGTCACATTCACCCCTGCCTCAGGAAATTCCACTTCTCTTGGTCTACCAGTGGAGCCCAAGGTTCTGCATTTAGAAGCTCAGCAGGTGGCTGTGATGTGCAGCAGGTTTGAGAACCTTTGGTGCAGGCAATTACTTTACTCTTCCTAGAAACGCACGTAGCTCCTGATTATGTTTTGTTCCATCTTCCAGCTTCCTGGCTTCACACGCCAAATCCACTTCCCTTCAGGCTGCATTTCTGGTTGGTTGGACCTTATTTTTCCACGTGATTTTCAGTTTTGCTTACTTTCTTGCCACTAGCTCTAAGGAACCCCCAGTTCCTGACTGGACTAGCCTCTGTCTGTCACCCCCTTGAGGGGGCCAGGCTTAACCAAGATTCCTGTCCTCTCTCTCCACATATCACAATTTCCATTCTTTGTTATTGGATCCCTTGGCCAGCTCTTCACCATCAGACCAAAAAGGAGGGTGGGAACAATTATTCAGATAATTCAGACACTCATTCAAGCAAAAGAAAAAAGAAAAAAAAGATGATTTTTCCCCCTTCCTGAATGATCCAGATAATTGTTTTAAGTCTCACCTTCACTTTGTCTCTGGAGCCCTGGCCTCTTCGTTCTGTTGCCCTAGTTAAAATTTGGTCTCAGTGATAAATATTTCAGATCTAATTGTTTCCTTCACTCATATTCCCCATGAAGTATTTTCAGGGAAGAGGATCTATAGGTAAAGGAGCATTCACTTCAATCCTGGGCAATATTAGAATCAAAATTAAGTTGCCGTGGCAGACCCACTACCTACATTTCACTTTCCGGAAGGGCCCCAGTTTATTTCATCTGTCCCAACCCCGACAGAGGCAGCAGCGAGGAGGAGCAAATTACCATTTATTAAACTCTCATTACATTTTCAATACCAGTTGTGTGTATGTGTGCAGCACACAAGCCTGTACTCCACTGCCATTAAATTAGCAAAGTCCTGTTAGCATAACATCCATATTTATAGACAGGGTTGAGTGATGCTGTGGTGACATGGTGCAAAGTTGAGTGCCCTTAATAGAAGGTTAGCGATATGTCCTCATCCTAGAGCCATTCAGGCACACAGCAGATGGAGGGGATTTGAGGGGACTTAACAAAGACTTGAGCTGCTCTGAGACAGCTTCAAGGCTTTCATTGGAATCTATAAAAGTTCGGGCAGAGACATCTCATTTTGGGAGAAAAGCCCATGCTTCTTTATTTGGGTGTCACAGACAGCCGGAGGCTGACAGGAAATGACAGTGTCCTATTTTGTGGCTCGCAGAACAGCCATTCAGAGAGTGCACTGCAGATCCTGTTTGAGCTGGCTGGTTTTGTACCACTTCTCCAAACCCAGGATGTCCAGGCCGGGCATCTGCCTGAGCCAAACAAAAGTATTCATAAGATTCTTTCGTCATTGCCTCCTCTGCCAGGTAACCCTCAAGTGTTTGTCAGGACAGTGATGTGTGACCGGCCAAGTCCTCTATCTTATCAGTAGGGAAAGGTTAGATGTGCACCTAGTTAGCCAGGGTTTATAGGTAAAACAGGGCGGGTGGAACTGGCTCAACAAATCCAGTTCTGTACAATGACGAATCCACTCCCTTTTAAAAAATACTGAGCATCATCCTAGACACCCAGACCAGACTCTTTTATTTCCTGTTTCCCACAGGGAAGCGTTGCCCTGACTTCTGAAAAGCATGCAGGTTCCCAATCAGCATCTTTCAATCAAATGCTTACAAAGTGACCTGTCCACTCCACAGGGTCCCACGTCTCCTGCATGGGTCCCAATTCCACTGCACTTGCCAGGTGGTGCCACCTGAGGAGGCTGCGTGTCCCACAGGCTGCCCACCCACCCTTCCTGCTCTTGGTTACGTTCAGTGGCCTCTAGGGCAGTTCCCTGACAAGACCCAGGTCTTACCTGGTCTCCCACTTCTTCTCATCTTCACTCATTTGATTTAGAATCTGGGAGCTAGAAGGAACATCAGGAAGAACCTGACCCAACTTTTCATTTTTGCAGACAGATCCATGGCACTGAGGCAGGGGTGGGGAAGGGGAGGGGTGGAGGATGGGTTTGCTCAGAATAATCCATTCCCCCCTTTGCAGACACCTGGCTTCCCTTTACCTATTGTTCTGCCGGGGCTGGCAGCTCCCGCAGTGTAATCACCCTCAGCTCATTAACAAGCTGTGCTCATTTGCATATCTAAACATCCCTGAACATAGAAAACAGAGCTGAGTACATCTTCCGCTTATGTATATACAGGAAAAGGGCAGGGAGGAGGCAGACAGGAAAGTCGGTTCACACACTCCTTCCTCTGTTCCTCACATTCACCTGTTAGTCAGTTGTGTGTATGTTTTAAACGATCTCATTTGTTCCTTACAGAGAAAGAATTGATAACCTTTATCTTGTATTTATTCCTTCCTTCCTTTTCATTTGGAAAAGCTGTGATTCTTTCCTATTTTCACCTCCCTTCTTTTCACCTTTTCTGGCACCATTTCTGAGAGAATGCCCTACCCCCTCTTTAAACACACACACACACACACACACACACACACGCACACACACACACACACACACACACACATCGCCTTCTCCATCCATCAGCTTTATGCAAATGTATGAACACACCCACCCTCATTCAGGATGCTCAGAAACAGGAACTGTCTATCTATAGATCAGCCTGATTGCAGTTCATTTTTATACAGCTTGAGAAGCGTGAAAAGTCACAGGCTGGGGATAAACCAGACCTAAATTACCAACCAGATGATCGTGAAACACATAGATCATTTATTCCAGAAGTGCCTTAACGGCCCCTCAGGATCCACCCTAAGGCTTTGTCAGTTTGTAGGAAAAGATGCTGCTTGAATGATGCCTTCTAGGGCAGTGCCATCTTAATCATGGGTGGAGGGGGCACACTCATCTCTACCCAGCTGCCAGCTTCCTGGGAAACAGCTCCTAAACAATAGATGAAGGCCAGGGGGGACCAGCCCAGAGAGATGAAAAAAAAGTCTAGAAACAGTAGACAGGCCTGCTCTCAGCTTTGTCTCTCACTCCATTCACTCTGTAAGCTTTTTATTGGACCCCCTACTGTATGCACAATTTCCTTCTACTAGTTTTGAACACATTTATTTAACATATGCTTATAAATGCTGATTAAGTGGCAGTCACTGTTCTGTTTTACAAATACTACCTCATTTAATCTTCATCACAATCCAATGAGGCAGCTACTATCATTATCCTTACTTTACAGATGAGGAAACTGAGGCATGGAGAGGTTAAGCAACTCACTCAAGGTCACACAGCTCATAATCGTGATGCCAGGATTCTCACTCAGGGAGTCTGACTCCAGTCTGTGCTCTCAACCACTATGCGGACATTCCATGTAGCTGGAACAGTGATAGGATGCAATAATGACTATTGATTGCTTCTCTAGCGTTCATTCACACTTCTTTTGTCAACAGCATCCTTATTTTCTCCTCCAAGTGGTTTCGGTGGGTGTGGCTTCAGGGGTGGGTTTTCATCAGTTTAGGCCAATCAGCATGTCCCATCCCCAGCCACTCTGATTGATCAGGACAAGCACATGACCACAGAACATAAGTCCTTGAGATTCTGAGGGAGATATCTGGGGAGACTCTTCTACTTGACAGTGTAATGTGAGGAAGATGAGCTGTGGTGAAGGGAAATGAGAGTGGAACAGCTATCATGTGACGTTTAAGAATACCATGTAGAAGGCAGAGCAGAGAGACAGATAAATCAAGTCATTAGTGAAACTGTTTAAGCTGCTGGTTCAGGCTTTGCCTGAAGCTACTACTTCCTCCTAACTTAGTTGCCTGACACATAGGAGGCTACTAATAAATATTTGTTGAATACGTGAGCTAATAAAGCCCCTTTATTGGGTAAGCCAGTTTAAATTGGGGTTTCTATTATTGATAACTGAAAGATTTCTAACTACACACACTCACCAGTGACAAAATAAACTTAAGAAAAATGTGGTATATTTGTATATAGCACACGCTGACCAAAAATTATAGAACAACTAGAAGCCCGTTGCATGAAGATTCCCACAATAGGCCTTCCTTCCCCTGGCTGCCAGCACCGGTTTTCCTCCGGCACCCGGGACCCAGGCCTTTGGTCCGGCCGCAGCGGAGAAGCCAAGCCTCTTCAGTCTTCAGTCTTCACTCCAGCCGGAGCCTTCAGTCTTCGCTCCACGCCTGTGTATGCAAATTAACCACCATCTTTGGTGGGTTAATTTGCATACTGGCTCTGATTGGCTGGTGGGCATAGCAGAGTGACACCAATTTGCATGTTTCTCTTTTATTAGTGTAGATATTCTTATAGAACAATATTCTATAAGATAGGCAGTAGGGGTTTTGCTCTCTTTCACCACCAGCATCTTGACTCTAATGAGCATGGTTCCCTGGGTCTGGGTGCCTATTTATAACAGTAGGCTTCTCTAAGCTGGGACTTTGTTTGTTTCTTTCTTCAAAAGCAGATTTTTTTTTTTGGTTTTTTTAAAAATATATTTTATTGATTTTTTTACAGAGAGGAAGGGAGAGAGATAGAGAATTAGAAACATCGATGAGAGAGAAACATCGATCAGCCGCCTCCTGCACATCTCCTACTGGGGATGTGCCCGCAACCCAGGTACATGCCCTTGACCGGAATCGAACCTGGGACCTTTGAGTCCGCAGGCCGATGCTCTATCCACTGAGCCAAACCGGTTTCGGCCAAAAGCAGGTTCTTAAAAATTTTTTTTAAATTGATT